TTTTCAGTAGAATTTTTTTTTATTAAAATAGAGCTGTAGTGAGATTTTCTTTGAACTACAAGACAACTAAAACTCTATGCTAATGGACATTTTGAACCTCTGGTGCTCTTGTCAGGGATGTCATGATTACCAAATTGGAGTCACACTTGAAATCCCAGGAAGGGCTTCATCTGAAAGCACATGTTGCAGTTTTGTGGCTGCTGGGTTTTTTTTAAAGAGTTGCTGATTTTGTCAATTATATTGTATTGTGGTGTGATCTAATAAGGGAAGAAGTCTGTGGGGTGACAACGTGGGTTACCGCACCAGTAGAGGGAGATTCACAACCAGCCACAGCTGCACAGCGTTCTCTGACCTTGCCTCTCAGATGAGGAACCTGGCCTCCAATGTTTTGGGTTGCTCATGTACTAAGTTCCTGCCTCTTGCAAAGACATTTCCAGTGGCTTTTTTCAAGCCGCCTGGAGTGGGAACTGCTCATATTTCGTCATACAGTGAAGGGGAAATGGATCCTCCCAGAAACTGGACGTTAATATTTTATCATAAAAGTTGCCCAATTCATTCCACTAACTGCATCTAGAGGACGTGATGCAGGTGAAATCATTCACCTGCAAATACAGCTACCAAACTGGAAGAAGGTAAGACTGGTAGGGTTCAGAAAAAGCTCCAATAATGGCAGGTTCGGAATGTCAGAAGGACACAAAGTAAAATCAGAACCAGGAGACTTTATTTTGGGTTATTACTCTGCGTCAACCAAATTCACAGGATACTCTTTGGTCAAACCTCCTCTGGAATGACCCTATGTCCGGTTCTGGAAAGATATGGACAAACTGAATAACCCTATGTCTGGTTCAAGAAAAATATGGACAAACTGAAATGTGTCCAGAGAAGGGTGTCCCAAATGGTCAAAGTTCTGGAAACTATACCCCTTTGGGGGGGGTGGGGATATGTTGTTCAGCCTGAAGAAAAGAAGGCTGAGAGAAGGGGACACGAGATCTATGTTGAAATATTTGAAAGGAGGTCACATCAAGGAGGAAGGGCTATGTTTGTTTTCTGCTCTTCTGGACACTAGGACATGATAGATTCAAATTGCAGGAAAGAGGATTAGGAAGAACTTCCTGGTGGTAAGAGCTCAGCCTCGAAGTCTGGTGGAGTCTCCCTCTATGGGGAGTTTCCAGCAGAGGCTGCATGGCCATCTGTTGGAGGTGCTTTGATTGGACAAGGCAGGCGGTGGGACTGGATGGCCCTTGGAGTGTCTTCCAACTCAATGATTCTGTATTTGGAACAGAATTCAAAGCATTCTGCAACTTTGGGCCCATGGAAACAGTTGGGCTGGTTGGATACAGAGCTAGTGGCAAATGTTTACATTGTCATCCCATGTTTCCTGAACTCAGGTGGCCTAGGAACATGGGATGGCACTTAACATCCCCTTCTGTTCTCTTTGTCATTGTGGTCCCTATATGAAACACTGCGAAATGGAGAAGGGATAGGAAGGATTCTGCTATACCAGGATAATGGGTGAGTGCAAGATTGAAATCCCACTCAGCCTTGGAATCCTGCTGGGTGATTTGGGACAAATCACACATACTAAGCATATAGGAAGGCAATGGGAACTGCTGCTGATCAAAGTGGGAAATGATCATAATCATAATCATAAAAATAATAATACACTTTATTTTTATTCAGCTCTGTCTCCTCAAGGGGACTCAGAGCCGATTACACATATATAGGAAAACATTCAATGCCTTTTATACAGTGAACAATGACATACAATGCACAAACAAAGGCAAAAGTTTCCCTTTCCATCTCCAGTGTCTGGAGACAATGCTCAACTCAGGCCATGGAGAAGCTAGGACTATCAGTGGGAGCTCACCCCAACCCGCAGCTTCAAACTACCAACCTTCCAGTCAGCAGTTTTTCTGCAGTTAGCGGTTTAACTCACTGTACTACCAAGACCCTGAGATGACACCAAATTGGGAGGTATACTCAGAGGATAGGAGCCGACTCCAAAATGACCATAACAGATGTGAAAGCTGTTTGTCCAAAACTCACAAAATGGATTTCAGCAAGGAGAAATTTATGATACTACACTTTGGCTCTACAAATGAAATACAAAGATATAGTATGGCTGACACCTGACTTGAAAACAGTACAGGGGACAAGGGTTTAACCCACTGCGCTACCGGGGGCTCCTTCTTAATGGGATAAGATCCTTAGAGTGGCACAACAGGTTAAACCATTGAACTGCTGACCTAAAGGTTGGCAGTTCGAAGCTGTGAGTCGGGGTGAACTCCTGCTGTTAGCCCTAGCTCCTGCCAACCTAGAAGTTCGAAAACATGCAAATGTGAGTAGATCAATAGGTACCACTTTGGAGGCAACACGACCAGGAGGTATCTACGAACAACAGGCTCTTTGGCTTGGAAATGGAACAAGAGTACCTCTTCATGGCTAGAGTTGAGCACAGCCTCCAGAAAGCCGGAGATGAAAGGGGAAGCCTTTACCTTTGTTCTGTATACTTGTATGTCGTTGTTATTTCCACTGTATTAAAGACATTGAATGTTTGCCTATCTGTGTATGTTGTAATCTTTCCTGAGTCCCCTCGGGGAGATAGAGCGGAATATAAATAAAGTGTTATTGTTGTTATAATTATTATGTAGGGGGTGTTTTGAATTGATTGGGAGGAGCCAGCCTCCTCTGGTGTGATGAGTCAAAGTACAGTGTTTTCAAATAATACGTAATAATCAGGTATGATAGGGTTCCCGGTAGCGCAATGGGCTAAACCCTTATGCTGACAGGACTGTTGACTAACAGATCAGTGGTTCGAATCTGGGGAGAGCGGGTTAAGCTCCCTATGTCAGCTCCAGCTCCCCATTTATTTATTTATTGTGTCATCTGCAACCAGAACATTGTATTACATTTCTAACAGAGCAAAACAAACAAACAGATAAAAAAAACACAGATTTTGCAAACTTGGTAGTGGATTACATGTCCTTTGACCAGTATCTGGCCACTTGGAGTGCCTCTGGTGTTGCTGCAAGAAGGTCCTCCATCGTGCATGTGGCAGGGCTCAGGTTGCATTGCAGCAGGTGGTCACTGGTTTGCTCTTCTCCGCACTCGCATGCGGTGGATTCCACCCTGTAGCCCCATTTCTTAAGATTGGCTCTGCATCTCGTGGTGCCAGAGCGCAGTCTGTTCAGCGCCTTCCAAGTCGCCCAGTCTTCTGTGTGCCCAGGAGGGGAGTCTCTCATCTGGTATCACCCATGGATTGAGGTGCTGGGTTTAGTCTATTCAGCGCCTTCCAAGTCGCCCAGTTTTCTGTGTGCCCAGGGGGAGTCTCTCATCTGGTATCACCCATGGATTGAGGTGCTGGGTTTGGGCCTGCCACTTTTGGACTCTCGCTTGCTGAGGTGTTCCAGCGAGTGTCTCTGTAGATCTAAGAAAACTATGTCTTGATTTAAGTCGTTGACGTGCTGGCTGATACCCAAACAGGGGATGAGCTGGAGATGTCTCTGCCTTGGTCCTTTCACTATTGGCTGCTACTTCCCGGCGGATGTCAGGTGGTGCAATACCGGCTAAGCAGTGTAATTTCTCCAGTGGTGTAGGGCACAGACAACCCGTGATAATGCGGCATGTCTCATTAAGAGCCACATCCACTGTTTTAGTGTGGTGAGATGTGTTCCACACTGGGCATGCATACTCAGCAGCAGAGTAGCATAGCGCAAGGGCAGATGTCTTCACTGTATCTGGTTGTGATCCCCAGGTTGTGCCAGTCAGCTTTCGTATGATATTGTTTCTAGCACCCACTTTTTGTTTGATGTTCAGGCAGTGCTTCTTGTAGGTCAGAGAATGGTCCAGAGTGACTCCCAGGTATTTGGGTGCGCTGCAATGCTCCAGTGGGATTCCTTCCCAGGTAATCCTCAGAGCTCGGGATGCTTGTCTGTTCTTAAGGTGAAAGGCACATGTCTGTGTTTTAGATGGATTAGGGATCAGTTGGTTTTCCCTGTAATAGGCAGTAAGAGCACCTAGAGCTTCGGAGAGCTTCTGTTCTACCATCTCAAAGCTCCCTGCTTGAGTGGTAATGGCACGATCATCAGCATAGATGAAACTCTCTGTCCCTTCTGGCAGTGGCTGGTCATTTGTGTAGATGTTGAACATGGATGGAGCAAGCACGCTCCCCTGAGGCAGGCCGTTCTTCTGTTTCCGCCATCTGCTTCTCTGGCCCTGGAACTCAACAAAAAAGCTCCTGTTTTGTAGCAGGTTTCCTATGAGGCGGGTGAGGTGGTAGTCCTTTGTGATATTATACATTTTTCTCAGGAGGAGGCGGTGGTTCACAGTATCATAAGCTGCTGACAGGTCTATGAAGACAGCTCCTGTGATCTGCTGCCTTTCAAAGCCATCTTCTATGTGCTGAGTCAGGTTCAGCACTTGCGATGTGCAGCTTTTGCCTTTCCTGAAGCCAGCTTGCTGTGGAATCAGACATGGGTCTATTTTTTCCATAATTCTATGCAGAATAAGCTCCCCATGTGGGGACATTAGAAAAGCCTCCCACAGGATGGTTAAAAAATCAAACATCTGTCCCCTGGGCAAAGTTGTTGCAGATGGCCAATTCTCTCATACCAGAAGCAACTTGCAGTTTCTCAAGTCACTCCTGACATGAAAAAAAAGGTATGATGAGGAGAGGATGCATCCCATCTCAATACATAGAATAATAGAATCATAGAGTTGGAAGAAACCTCGTGGGCCATCCAGTCCAACCCCCTGCCAAGAAGCAAGAAAACTGCATTCAAAGCACCCCGACAGATAGCCATCCAGCCTCTGTTTAAAAGCCTCCAAAGAAGGAGCCTCCACCACACTCCGGGGCAGAGAGTTCCACTGCCGAACAGTTCTCACACTCAGCTCTCACAATACAGTATGCATCCAGTCCTATAAATAGATGGGATGCATACTGATATAAGCGGATTATATCCTAGTGTGATGCTGAGCTTTGCCTGCCTTTTGGGGAGGAATTCTTGTATCTGAATGGAGGGGTTGGGACTTTCCTGGGTATTTCCTGGAGAGAGAAAAGCAAAAGGGGAAGCCCTCCTGGAGATATCCCTAGTTCCTACCCATTTGCCCTCTCCTTGCTTTTCCTGGGATGCCTGCAACCAGGGAGGGAGGGAAAGAAACCCTAAAGAAGCCCCAGAGCGATGGGACAAAGGGATGCGGAGGCGGAGCAGCGAAGGAGGGACTTCGACAGCAGACAGATCCCTTTCCCCTCCTCTTTCAGCCTCCTTTTCCCTTTTCGAGGCAGGGAAAGAGGCTCAAGTCCAATGCTGGAGGGAAACAGCGAGATCCTTGTTTCAAAGCTCTGCTTTTGGGGGGTTGCTTCCCCATCCGGATGGGATGGAGAGGTAGGTGCGAATTGTCGGGTCCCTTTTGGTCTGTGTAAAGGGCGATTCCGGGCATGAGAAAGGGGAGCACTCCTTCCCACCTCTTCCTTCCCTATGGGATTCTCTTTCTGGAGGGGCTTGCCTCCCTTTTCACACGCTTGAGAAGGGACAGGAGAGCCATGTTAAAAGATCGGAAAGGATGTCCCACTGAGCATTGAAGAAGGGACAAGAACTAGGGACTGGGACACAAGGCAGCCAGGGATCCAAACAAACTTCAGGAAAACTACATCTGAAGATTATTAGGAAGAACTTTGGGAAAGTAATTGGGAGCTGGAGTACAGTGAGAGCATGCATTGTCCATGGGTTTCTTTAGACCAGCGTTTCTCAACCTGGGGGTCACTACCCCTGGGGGGGGGATTGTGAGGGAGTGTCAGAGGGGCCACCAAAGACCATCAGAAAATAGTATTTTCTATTGGTCGTGGGGGTTCTGTGTGGGAAGTTTGGCCTAATTCTAACGTTGGTGGGGTTCAGAGTACTCTTTGATTGTAGGCGAACTATAAATCCCAGCAACCACAACTCCCAAATGTCACGTCTATTTTCCCCAAACTCCACCAGTGTTCACATTTGGGTATATTGAGTATCCATGCCAATTTTGGTCCAGATCCATCATTGTTTGAGTCCACAGTGCTCTCTGGATGGAGGTGTACTACAGCTCCAAAACTCAAGCTCAATACCCGCCAAACCCCTCCAGTATTTTCTGTTGCTCATGGGAGTTCTGTGTGCCAAGTTTAGTTCAATGCTATTGTTGGTGGAGTTCAGAATGTTATTTGATTATAGGTGAACTATAAACCCCAGCCACTAAAACTCCCAAATGACAAAATCAACCCCGCCCCCAATCCCACCAGTATTCAAATTTGGGTGTATTGGGTATTTGTGCCAAATTTGGTCCAGTTAATGAAAATATATCCTGCATTTATACATCCTGGTGGGGTATAAATAAAGTTTATTATTATTATTATTATTATTATTATTATTAGTAGTAGTAGTAGTAGTATTAGTATATCAGATATTTGCATTACAATTTGTAACAGTAGCAAAATTACAATTGTGAAGTAGCAATGGGAAAAAATTATGGTTGGGGGTCACCACAACATGAGGAACTGTATTAAGGGGTCACAACATTAGGAAGGTTGAGAAACACTGCCTTAGGCAAAGAGCTAGACACCTCTAGCTTTAAGAAAAGAAGACTGTTTGAATAGATTATGATTTTTAGGATGAGTAGGGAGGGAAGGAAGGAAGGAAGGAAGGAAGGAAGGAATCGTGTCCCTTGATTTGTGTTTGTGCAATGCTGCTGCATGTGATGGTCCCTATGGAGACTTCTTGTCCACAGCTGCATGGTATACGGTAGATTCCTGCAGAAGTGAGAGGATCCCTCTTGTCCTTTGCTGAACGTAGCATGTGTTTTCTTGGTGGGCCTATAGGTTGTTTGTAGGTTGTATTTCTTCATCAGCTTCCCTCTGTGGTCAGTGGTTCCTTTGATATATGGTAAGAACACTTTCCCTCTAGGCCAGTGGTTCTCAACCTGTGGGTCCCCATGTGTTTGGCCTATAACTCCTAGAAATCCCAGCCAGTTTACCAGCTGTTAGGATTTCTAGGCCAAAAACATCTGGGGACCCCAGGTTGAGAACCACTGCTCTAGGTGGATCTTTGTCTTGACTCTCTTGGCTTCTTCTTGGTCTTGCAGCTCTTCAGATGTCTGTGGTGGAATCTCCATTGGCCTGTAGAGCCCAGTTGAGGTGGTTCCATTCACCTTGGAGGAGGTGGGGTTCGCAGATTCTTTTTGCACAGTCTGCCAAGGCTTTCATTGTGTTTTTTTTTACTTGGGTGATGGCTGGAGTTTTTATGTAGGTATCTATCTGTGTGTGTAGGTTTTCTATAAACTGTGTGGCCCAGTTGTTGATTGCTTCACTCAGAAGGAGTCAAACAGGGACTTCCGGTGGAGGCGGAATGGCGGCAGGACCGGGTTTCTGAGGCTCCGAGCATTTGTGGCGGGCCTGGAGAACCCATGCTCCCTTCACTAGGGGATGGGACCGTAAGGGACCCCACAAGCCGTTGGAAGAGAGGACGGCTTGCTAGCTAAACTCGCAGCTACTGCGGGGGCGGAGGAGCGGTCTCCCCTCAAGGGAGGCGGCCATCTCCTGCCTGGCAGAGCAGTGAGCTTGCGCCCCGAGGGAAGCACGGTCCGAAAGGACTGAACTGCCGCCAGCCTCCGTTCAAACTCTAAAGTGAAGAAAGAAGACAAGAAAGAAAGGACAGTAAAGGAAAAAAAAAAGCAACAAAGAAACGAGGTACAAAGAGGTAGCATTCACTAACCAGTGAAAAAGGAAAACAGAAAGAAAGAGAAGAAAGAGACTTCTAAGTGAAGAAAGGAAAAGAAGAAGGAAAGAAAAGAGGGAAAAGAGGGAAAAAGAAAAAAGCATACAGACGCGAGGCGATGCAAAGAATACAAGGTAGGCCATGTGGCCGCAAGATACACCCGTGGGAGGGCCTAACAGAAAGTAACTCAAGCCCCGGGGGATCAATTTACCTCTGTCCACACACAGAACCTCTGAACCCTCGAACACCCTCAGGCTCCAAAACCTCCAAAACTCCAAAATTAGCGATATCTCGGATAACGAACACCTCAAGAAATAAGGAGAGATACCTTTAAGAAGAGCGGCCCTGTGAGCTCCCAAAGCGTGACACGTCAGCGGGGAGACGTGGAGACGCGGCAGCGCAGCGCAGGGGCGTGACGTGGCCCCCGCGCATGCTCAGTAGCCTCAACTCCGGTAGGCTCCGGGATGCTGGGATTGGGCGTGGGACAAGAAGCAGGAAGAAGGCCCGATAAGAGAGAAAAGAAAAGACCGGCCAGAGGGACGTTGGAGGGACGTAAGTGGGGCAATTGACAGTTGGAGAAGAACGGAGGGAAGAAAGAAAGGAGTGAAGAAGAGGTGCAAAAGAAAGAAAGAAGAAACTGGGGGCAAATAGAACACAAAGAGAAAAGAGGAGAGGAAGAAGCAAAGAAGAGGATAGTTTTAAGAAAGAAGGAAAAAGAGATAGAAAGTACAGGGAGGCTGAGGTGCAAAGGTGCTAAGTTGTCAGGGGGCAATTTAAGGCTCAACTAATCAATTTATCAATTTATTCTTTCATAATTATTTTTTAAGCCCTGATTTGGTGTCGGCCATACTTTTCAAGCCCTGATTCTGTGTCTGGCATATGAAATTATTTGTTATATGAGATCCTGATACTCCCATTATCAAATGTTATAGGAAATTGAAATTGAATATGAAATCTGAATAGGAATATGAAATCTGGTATATGAAATTGTCAGGTATATGAAATCCTGATACTCCTAATATCAAATGTTTATCAAATGTTTATGACTCTGTATACTGTAAATTGGTACTTTGCTTTCCTTTACTTATAGGTATCTCTAATTGCTAATTGCTAATATATAAAGGTGTATTTGTGTAATCTTGAAAAGGAAACAGAAGTGTAGCTAACCCTATTGCTGACCGTGTAGCTAACCCTATTGCTGACTGGACAAAGAATAGATGACTAAAGGAAGATTTTGGAATTGACTTTGCTCCTGAACTAGAGAAGAAACATATCGATAGTATTATATGCAGGAGTCAAAAAATACTCAAGAAATACGTTGGCCTTCCTTAAGATCATATAAAACTATTGACCCTGTTTAAAAGGTGCGTTAAGGAACCAGAAGTAGCCACAACTCCAAGGCTATTTCAGAAGATATAGAACGCACTATATTCAAGACCCACGTCAGCAGAATGGCGGAGGGCAAAATGGAAAAGTTCCTGCTGACAACTAAACAAAGCAAAATAACGAATACTCCACAAGGGACAACCCCTGCCGTAAATACGCAGGGGGCAACCCCTACCCCAACCCCAGCAAGACGCCATTCTACACAAGGAGAAATCTCCTTGAGGGATCTCATGGCTGAAATGTGGAAAATACAAGAGAACATCGAAAAGAAAATTGAAGATAACCAAGCCAAAACACAAAATAATCTGGAAAAACTTTTCCAGAAAGAAATGGGGTTATTAAGACAGGAAATTAAAGAGGATATGGATATGATGAAAAAAGAAATGGAAGGAGCTCAGAAGGAGATCAAAGAACTGAAAAATGAGAATGCACAATTAAAGAAAAAGCAGGAAAAAACCGAAGTCAGAATGAAATGCCTAGAAGAAAAAAATCAAAGATTGGAGAAACAACAGGAAAAGCTTGCAAGTAAAGACATGGAGTTTCAGCTAAGGTATAGAAACATCGAAGAGAAAGAGGGGGACAATCTCAGAAGTATAATTGTCGAGATCACGGCGGAACTACTAAAGACGCCTATGGAAGAGGTGACTAGAGAAATTGATACCATTAAAAGAGTAAATTCCAACTACGCAAAAAGAAACAACGTCCCAAGAGACATTGTAGTTGACTTCAATAGGAGATGCGTGAAGGAAGAAATTTTAAAACTGAAATCGAAGGGCCCTATTATCTACAAAGGAAAAAAAGTGATCATTCTCAAGGAGTTCTCACCTGCATCCATGAGCAGCAGGAAAAAGTACTACTTTTTAACTGATGAGCTCAAAAACCACAAAATAAAATTCCGATGGGAACGCACAGAAGGAATTCAAGTTACCTATAAAGACAACAAACTATGGATCACCTCAGAGGACAAAGCAAAAGAGTTTCATAAGAAACTGCTGAAGGACTTAGAAAAAGAGCTACTCCCAGACAAATCTAAAGAAGTAAAGGAAGGAGGAGAAATAACCAGGAAAGAGACGGTAATGAAAACAGAGTGGAATAAAAAAGACAAGAAAAGACCAAGACCGGACTCAACTGAGGAGGAAGAAGGTGAAAAAGGAATGGGACCTTTGGATCGAGACAAACAATCGCAACATAATGAAGAGCTTATCAATATATTCGAATAATGTAAATGGGATGAATTCCCCAAATAAAAGAAAACAGAT